TATCCTCGCCCTTGCTGTCGGCAGACGCCCTTTGTCCTTCTATGTGTGTCCTTGTGAGCGTGCTCTATGTCTTCTTATTTGCTGGCCGGTTCTGCAGGTTTCTTCTGAGGGAGTATTGTTAGAACGACGAAAACGACGACGGGGCAGTGGCGCGCGCGACCATGTCGCGGCAGGCCCCGCGGGCCGGCTCGGCCTCCATAAAATCAATCTATCTTCTGTCTGTCATTCCCTGTCCTGTCCTCCATGCTGCCGAGAGCATCATCGTAAGAATATATTGAACACCGTTGCTGCACAATTGCCACTTAAAATATCGACACGTTTCAGAAAACATCTGCTGCTGGGGGCAACCATAGAAGTAGGCAAAGTGAGCAGGATAGATTATAGAGAAATCTTCAAGTTCCTGGGATCACTGCTTCTGAATAACGAGCACCAGTTTCCAATTGCAGTCATGGCCACTGGAGTGACATTCTTCTAACTTGTTTTCAGACACGCAGCGCAAAATCACTGTAGAAAATGATCCGTTTAAGTAGCCTTCTGGAAAAACATCAATAAAACAAAATTGTGTGGGGCTGAGGAGGACAGTGCAATAACCAGCATCGGACCGCCACTGGTATTAACCCCAAGAGACCTGAGACCACTGGCATGTCAGTGATGATGCCGTGGATTGCGGAACAGGCTGACAAAGGAGTGGTGTAAGGGCCGCAATAATGTGCAGCTGACAAGAGTGGAAAGGAAGAGATCACAAAGCCTTAGAAACTGCTTCGGCGTCCCTGGATATTTTTTCGTTTTTACAGGTAGCGACAACTTTCCTCCTTTGCATCTACGATTCCTCTTTCCCCCAAAAATTTTCTCCTCTCCCTCTTTGGCGCCGCCATTCGCTTCCTAACGTCAGACGGGAGGGCGGTTCCGCTGTGTTGTTATGTGGTTAGCAGTAGCGTAGTCTTCCTTGTTTTGGTCATTTCCAGCGCGTGAAATTAATTTGGATATCATCGGGTTACTTACGTGAATCGAAGGTAAGCTGTTATTTCCGCAAAAGCACACACATATATATATATATATATATATATATATATATATATATATATATATATATATATAGATATAGATATAATAAGCCGAAAGCCAATTTTTGGCTTTCGGCGGGTTCCTGGAAACTTTGATTCTTTGATTCATTGGATTAAGTACGGTTCATTCATCTGCACATATTCGTTCATATATATATATATATATATATATATATATATCAATATTTTGCCGCAATCCCAATCATACCCCAGCGAGAGCTTTCGCGAGCAATACTCTCGGCGATGCTACATATGTGCGCGCGTGCGTTACAATAAACTATTTATATTTTGTAATAAAGACAAATGCCTTGTGAAAATGTCATTCTGTCGTCGATAGAGCTGCATGGTTAAGCTATTGTGAGAACTCTATTTTGTTTGCAACCATTCTCCCTCGTGGCGAGCGTTGGTAATGCTACGCAAGCGTGTGCACGGTGTAGACGCAAACGCGTCTGGAACTCATTATTTTGGGGTGTGTCTACATGTATCTACATGACTTCAACACGCATTTTGTTATAAGTACTAGTAGCAGTGTTTGGATGGAAAACAAACGTCGTGCAAAGGGGTGACCTTGACGAGTTTGGACGGTGCGAGATCCGTGCGGATGAACCAGTCCCAAACAATATTTCGGGTGAAGTTACACCATCGCACGTGCTATCCCCACATGCGATAACGGGCAATCTCGTCCTCGAGCCTCTACTGCGGAGCCGTGTTTGGTCTCAAATAACTCTGTGAAGGATTCTAGCTGGCAACTTTTGCTGTTTTTGATTGCTGGATAGCATACCTTCAGCGTGCAGTGAAGAAATGTTGCGTACAACTTTTATTATTTTGCCACATTAAAATGTGAATCCAAGACCAATTTTATTAGATCGCGTTCAAGGAATTCGTTATGAACGTGTTTAATGTCTCTGTCTACTTTTTTCTGCCTGGCTTCCACTGTAACATCCACGTAGATATTTTTTTAGACAAAACCCCCGAGACTGGGGGGAAGGAAGGACAACACAACACGAAGCACATGCATTGTGCAGACATTTTTGTTTATTTCAGCTCTTGTCGTGCGATATATATATATCTCAAAAGACAAGTGTTGAAACTCATGAGCAGTGCAGTCAAATATAATTAATGTTATTGGGTTCACGCAAATGCAAAGCACATAAATAGTAAATATGGGAAGAGCCCAACTTTGTTGCAATTTAATTGAACTGCCACATGTTATGATATGTATGCAGTTTGTGTATTCATGGTAGTGAAGATATGAAGAAAGTGTCTTGGATAAAACAACACAGATTTTTTTTTTATTCGAGATCTTTTTACGAAGTAATCAATGTTGCAGTCGAACAAGTCATCCCACGGGAGATTAGGAGAATATGCTTAAAATAAAAGATAACACCAAAAGAAACAGCTACTAGGGTGAGCTAGAGGGGGAGGTGTTCTCATTGCCTACTTCGCTCCATTTTAATGATCCAGGATGGAAGTGTGAAGAAGAGCTCCCACAGCATCACTTCCAGCCTACTATGCCAAAGCAGAAACTGAGCACACCCATACCCCTCCAGCCTTTACCCTAAACAGCTTCAATTTTTGGTCAGGGATGCTAGAGGTTCAAATGGCCCCACTATCCCAAACTAAGTGCTAAACGAAGAGGTGCACTTCGATGTCTGAACTAACAGTGGAATATGCGTAGAGTAGCCCTCTTTGAAAAATAGTCTACTCAATGCTTAGTATTTGTTACTGTAGATGTTGAAATGTGATAGGTACCTATCAGACCTGTCACGAAAGTCCTCAGTTGTCTTTCTAGTTTCTTGCGAGACATCTGGGCACATTATTTGTCAGTTATACCTCTTGTTATCCTCCAGTGGGGAAAAGGTTAATAATTTGACACGAAGATTCGGAAAAAGACGTTCAGCTGAAGGGTTCCGTCCTGGAACGAGGATCCAGCCTTGCAATTCTCCTATGTGGGGCGCTCGTATCCAACGACAACCTTCCAGTCGACATCTTGGGCCGTGTACCCGGTGGAGGGCGACAGCGAAAACTGTTTCATTGTTCTCACAATGCTAGATTCCGTTTCACTTTGAGTGCGAGCTGGAGGCCTCCAATGCCCATATTAAACATGCACGCTCATGTAGTGAGAGCATCGTTCAAGAAAAAGCGCTCACGTTCAGCTTCGGCCTGGCTCGCACATAAAGTAAATCAAAGCGTAGGCCTTGAGCCCACTCTAAATCTCTAAACCAGTAGTAGGTTGAAATTATTCGTCACAACAAGAAGTTGGGAGTGATGCCGAGAAGTATGGGAGGGTTGTCACTTGCACATAAGTGACTGATTGACGTGCAGTTCCCAGCAAGATGATGTCCTGGGTTGGGTAAGGTTTGAGCCTGTTGGATGTCAGCAAGAGCACGTGGTTACACAGGATCCGAGGGGACACGGCGGTCCCGTTGACTGTGGCCATACGTGTCTGCAGCGTCACCACTTCTTGATTGCTAGCCAGTGCCAACCTCCGGAACATGGTCCCGTCACTGCCGCAGCATACCAAAGTTCTTATACTGGAACTGGTAGCAGTGGTCAAGCAGATCCAGAAGAATCACTGTAGCTGGATAAAAACATTCAACAGGTACATCAGTCCTCTAGGCAGTAGCACGTGACTAAGCCACGTCCTACTGCGTTTGCATACGCACGCACAATATCCGGCATGTCGGGAACCAAGAAGGGTGCGCCGGTATTCATTCTATATTGCTCGAGAATGCTTAGAGTATTTTATAGCATCTTCGATCAACTCGCACCGGAATCGCCCTGAAACCAGCACAGTGCACAGCGCTCCTCGGTCGTGCAGCGCGATGTCCGTGCAACATCGAGGACAAACTGCGCCGCGCCGGTGCACCGCGGCGAGCTCCACCTTGCGTCACTTCGCGTTTTGTTCGTTTATTTTGCGTAGGTCAGCGCACGGTGCCCGCCTGCTGTCAATTTCTTCTATTTTTTTACTCGCGAATTTGACGGTCCCACAGAAATAAACATCGTGGACGTGATTGTCGATGGGGTCACAAAGCGGGTGACAATTCCACATGTATATGTTGGCCATCATTATTAGTTCAAGAAAACGAAACACCAGATAATAGCCGTACGCCTCGCGCCGCTTTCCACGAAGTTCGTGCTTTTCGGGCGCTCCTTGCCACCGCAGCAATCGCCAGTAATCGCGGCGATGGTGAGAAGCTCGTCGTCTCGCCGTCAGAAGACCCGAGGAAATCATCTAGTGAAGCTGCGAGGCGTGTTCGTTTTTGCAAGATCGCCATCTCGATGGTCTGCGCGTCTGTTACTCCCGCCATCTTCTCGATTCCCGCTCCTGGCCGCAATGCCTGATGGGACTGCCCGACTGCCCCCCGGCGCACCGCCGATTTTCTTGGTGCGCGTTGGGGCAACGCAAAGCCGCACCGGGAGGGTGCGCTCGGTGCGCTTCGTTGATCGAGGACGTCCGGTGCGCACCGGTGCACTTGATCGAAGATGAAGGGGCGCACCTCAGTGCCCCGGTGCGCACCGGTGTGGATGATCGAGGATGCTATTACATTCGTGAGATGTCGGATAATTGAAAACGCAAGCAGCGCATTCGGTCACGGCATGGTAACTGCTCAATCGAAACCGAAACTGAGTGGCTAAATAGCTCCCAGAGTGCACTCCATGGCATTTCTCCATCAAGGGCCTCTTGGGATTTTGGAAAGAGTCAGTGGTCGGTCGAGACAGTCACTACTAAAACATAAATGGTCCATATGCTAGCATGAATGACGAAGCTGAATAAAGCGAACAAAGCTGAAACTTCAAAATTGCATCTAGGTGGCTCGCGCCACCTAGACATAGTTTTTAAAACCCTTAAAACCCCTTACAGGCTCTCTCAAGTTTGAAAGTGCCACCTGTCGGCTGCCTCAATAAGCTCTCTAAAAACAGCACATCGATATGAAAACAGTGCGGTCGACACTTTCGTCATTGGGGCGCGCAACGGGATCCGTCTCACCGTTTTTGCCCCGCAAGCTGTGTTTTCCGGAACGAATTGCCGATTGCCTGCCGTGCCGTAACTGTGCACGTTATCGGACGCCAAGCGGACATGAGAAATCGATCGGTGGACCAGCGGCGCCGGTGACAAGCAGACGACAACAACACCGTCGGGAGTGGCGATGGCGGTGTCGGCTTTTCCGCCGTCATACAGCGAGGCGACGCGTCAGCACGCCTCGCTGGGCGGCGGTCTGAGCTTCGTCGATTTTCTGCCTTACTGCATCAGCTCAGGAGGACTCTTTAGCACGCCCACCTTCGAGCCCTTTCGGTAAGGCCCAGGCGATTCACCTTCCCCAGAAACACACACATTTTTTTATTCTTTTCTTTTTTTCTGTCCAGGCGACGCCTGTGTTGTTTTCGAACTCGCCCGCTTCAAGGACTTTCCAAGCATCAGACGTTTCCTCAATCCACGCAGCCTTTTAACGAGATTGCTATTTGGCGTATGCCTACAAAAAGGCGAACTGCCGTTTGACGCATGCCTAAAAAAACAAAAAAAAATTAATGTATTTCCTTTTTTTCTTCGGGGAAATTGTGTTTTGGGCTGATACGGTTTTCAGCTGTTCCTTGGGTTCGATCAAGTCTCGGATATTTTGAATAGTTTGTGATTTTTACTTAAACACCCCCCCCCCCCCTCCCCCCCACCCCACCCCACCCCCACAAACATACACACACAAAAAAAATAACTCTAACACTCGCAAACAAAATTCAAAAGTAGAAAAAATCAGCACCAACTTTAGGAGGGAACAGGAGAATATTTCGGCTGTCCTCTTTTTAGCGCAGATTTTTCACTCTCAGTTACGTTGTGGTGTTGTGTAAGCTTCGAATGTCAGTCAAGACGACGCAAAGGACCAGTGGGCACATGCGTGGCAGCAGTACCGCCGAAATACCCCTCAGTTCGTCCGTATCTCGTGGCACCATAACGTTTCAAAGAGGGCAAAAGCTATGACCCGTGCTAGCTAATTCATGGCAGTCTGCACATTTGCGTTTAAGTGTGGTCGTGCCCCGCAACCGTCTGTAGCCGTTTGCGACGCGAGTGTGCACTTGCGCCATCTAGTGGTAGCTCCAGAACAATTCTAGCGTGCATCTACGTTGATGCAAGGTTTTGTAGTACTCGCGAGATCTACTCTATGCGCTATTTATGAGAAACAGTCTCTTATAATACCAACGGAATTACTTCGAGCACACGGCAAAAGAATGGATCCGTAAAATATGTGCCAGTCGGAACTGTTCCATAGCTACCCTACAGACTGCCATCGCATTCTCCCACCGTAACTGTTCACGAAAGGGGGCAATGCGGCCGATCGCACTGGAGCGTAAATATGTGTATCTGCCATTAGAGCGGCGGTGCCATGCACCCGACGGCTTCCCATGGGTGGAGCACACGCGTATATGCTACGTCCTCGCGTTCCTCGCTCCAGCACTCCAATCGGCTCGCTGCGGCTGCGGCTTTTGCCCTTTACTGAGGTTTGTTGAAATAAGAGTATGGAGATGTTGCCAATTACGCATTAGGCAAATTTTCTAAGCGCATGAAAGACGTTCCTCGTCGGAACGTTTCGTCGGCACCCACCTTTTGGAGCCGCCGACATCATGACCACGGTGCTCATTGCACATCGTCGACCGGAGTTTAGCGTCCTGTACCGTCCAGAGCCATGTATAAAGAGCGTTCGGTCAATGGGGGGTGCGGGCAGAGCCAGGGCGCGCACCAGACGCAGAAAGAGGGCTTGACATGCTCTCTTGGTCAACCAGAAGCCGAAAAGAATCCCCTAGGGGGGGTAGGAAGAAACAGTTTTAATGATGGGTATATGGTTTTAATAAGTGCGTAAGAGTTAAATGTAGTAACCCTTCCTGGTTGAAAATAGGGTGCATGTGATGTTTCGATTATGATCATGCAGAAGGATGTAAGAAACGAATGTGCTACTCTAACTCTGTTTTGCTCGGACAGAGCGTGACTGTGACCGTTCGGACAGCAGATTCCCGGCCCTCGGCACCTGGCGTACAGATTATGTCGACCGTTCTGGTAGATGCGCTCTTCCACCATGATCTTGGATGACCGTGATTGCAACATCACGTGCACCATATTTTCAGTCCCCGAGAGTTACTCCGTTGCACTTATTCTTTTGCTCGCGACCACCGCCAGGGTATTATTTCCGGCTCCTGGTTGGCCACAATCGAATTTGTGAAGACGCCCTGGACCACGCCCAGCCCTCTTTCGACCAATGGTGCCTCCTCATTTGTCTCTATACTTCTCAATGAATGGCCAAACTCTCTACATATATGGCTCTGGTACCGCCCAGTGGAATGACGTGACTGTGGTTTGTAGCCACTTGAGGACCACTTTGGAGGCACTGGCGGTACAGGACGCCAAACGCATTGCTCGGAGACGCGTGCTACGCACCGTACCGCCACTAAGCGGAGCGGACGTGCGACGGTTGGCAGGAGTCTGTCGAGCTGTACCGAGGCGGGCACCTTTTGTCGCCGCAGGACGCTGGTGAACCGTGCCAATGAGTGGCTCAAGGAGAACCCGACCTGGGAGGTGAAAACCTGCGAGAGCGTGGAGTTCAAGACCTCCTCAGAGGTGGTCAACACGGAGCGCATGACCTACTACGAGTACGGCGAGCAGAGCACCCGCTACGTGCGCAGCCTCCGGTGAGAGTGCTCCTTCGACAACTTCCCGCATTGATGAGTCCCAGAGCGCAGATACCTGAACGGCTGTCTGTTCTCCCACCGACCTCAGGCTATGGCTGGTGCCACGGCTCGACCAGAGCCGTCCCCCGCAGCAGATAGAGTACCGCAACCTGATCCCCCAGCAGACGGGGCATGCGGGCCTCTTCGGCATGCCCACCTTTGAGACCCTTCACGAGTTGCTCGAGCGGTACAACCAACAGCTGCGCTACCAGCCCATGCCCGGTGAGCCGCCCTGACCCCCCAGTTAGCAGGCCAGAGAAACGCCTAACTTGGCACAAACTCGGCAATCCTATTGGCCCCGTTTGGGGCTAACACGGTTTCGCTCTGAGGCATTAGTTGGTGCTAGGGTACTTTTCTCGGACATTTCTGTGCGTTTCCTCTGGCTCGCCACGGAATTGCCAAAGTGCCAGACTTGTGCCAAAAATGCCACTTATAAACCGAAGAACTCACTGTGGAGCCTAGATCCGGCACTTGTTCGGCAATTTTGGCCCAAGGTTGCCACATGAAAATGAAACGAGTAGGAGTGAAGCCTAGCTGTGGCACAATTGTTTGGCGATTGGGCCCGAATATACCAGGTGTCGACCAAATAACCAGCTGTGAAGCCTAACTTTGTCTCTTGTTCAGCGATTGGGGCCAAGATAAATAGCCAGATTCTGTCCAAAAATGTTTGACTCTACGTTTGCTTTTTGGGGTTTCTTAAAGGGCCACTCAAAAGAAAAAATAATTTTTTTTAACAGTCAAAAAATAAATTTGACGCGAAAAAAATATTCTTCTTAGAGCTATATGATTTGTTTTCTCTAGACATTTCGGGCGCGTGGAGGAGAGGTGGATCAGCTTGGCCATCACCCTGAGGTGGAAAGACTGTATGACCATTCCGTGACATCATGAACTTTGCGTGCAGAATGTGAAATAAATCTCGCACTGTCAATAGTACTGCTCTAAAAAAAAGTTTTGCATAAAATTCATTTTTTGACACGCGTGTTCCAACGAAATTGTTTAAAAAAAGGTTTTTGTTTTTTTTGTGGCCCTTTAATGTTCTAAATTCTCAAATCATAGCCAAATTCTAGTCCAAAGAACTGAGTTGTCTGGGTTGTGCTCCTTACGCCCCTACGTGGTCCAATTGATTCATTTAACATGCCATTTCACCTGATGATGCACCGCACCAGATGCTACAAGCTGTTTTATCCAATCCAGCGCTTTACACGTGACACGTGACTTCGTGCTCTGCACGTCCCTCCGCCCAACCGGAAGGTCACGTGACTTTGTCCGAGCTGTGGATTGGCTCATGTTTCTCATAACGACAGTTTGGACACGTCGTAAGTTTAAACGGGGTGTATGTAGTCAAGCCGGAAGAAACTTAAGTTTGAAAACAGTCAAAAGCCTCGGTTCGTAATAACAAAAGGCTTCACCATGATGTTCTTGGGGTGTGTGTCTCTTTCAAGCTGCGAAGCATTGTCACCCGATTTGTTGTTAGTGGCATTTACTTGGCGCTATGATCGATGATTATTGACGTTAAATATATTTGCCCCGCCCTTGAGGAATAAACTTAAAACTAATAAGTACAGACTCGATTTCTAAGGCACAATCATATACTTTGACCTTCCTGGGGACGGAAACACTCACCCTAATGACAAACCTTGTTGTAATAATAATACAGCCGTAAAACTCTCCTAGAATGTCGCACTCCAGGTCAAAAATACTATGCGAGGGTTGGGGAAACCAATATATTTTAAACCTTTAGACCGATTTCCCATTTTTGTTACTAATCTTTGTTCCTTCGTCCACGCTGCATAAAATGCCTGTCCCTTACGAAAGACGAACTGGGCTAGCCGGCGTGCGTCTAGTGTTGCATGCCGTCAAAGGATGGCGCAAAAGACCCGGTAAATTTCTAGATTTGGCCGAAAATCGGTTCAACACTGGCAACAAGGGCTTTAAAAATGGCAGCATCCACTTCTGGAAGTGGTGCCCCTCGGGACGAGTGTGCAGCAAAAATGCTGAAAAAACTAATATTTCACTACATATATCTTCTGACTCGGATGATGAGGACATAAACCTTTCATCGGGCAGTGACAGTGAAGCCACTGAGCTGTTTGACTTCAGCTCTGACGACCCGAATTCTGATAAAAATATTGTGTCTGCGTGTGAGCCTTGGAAGAGAATCGACGTACAGAAGCCTCCCTCTGCGCCTTCGCGTTTTCACGTTGGTACTGTGTCGGTCATGAACGCTAACGTAGCATGTGATGCAAACTCTTTACACTGCTTCTAACTTTTTTTTTTTACATTGGATGTGTAAAAATGTAAAAATAAAAAATCAATATATTTCTATAGTTTTTAAAAAAATTATTGTGCTAAGCAAAGGGCTAAGACTGAAAGGTCGGTGTCCTCTTCATTGTAATGCCAGCCTCGTGGAATGCACTTGAAGGAGTGCACATGGTGTAATAACACAAAACGAAACTATAAGCGTCCCGACAGATGCATGGCTCGCATGCGACGTCATGTCAGGTTGGTGGTCATTCCTACTCAATCTTGCCAAGAAACGAATTTGGCAGTGCAAAATTTATGCTGCACAAGGTCTGCACTGTGCAGCAGGGCCATCACTCTGGCTGCCGACACGACGTAGATGCAAGCCACGTATGGGCGACCTACCGCTTCTTGCTCTTTCGGAACCCAGTGTCTTTCCGAGCGTGACATCCGTCTGACTTTTTATGTTACCTCCACGTCTGCGAGGCAAAGCGTTGGCATACAGATCCTCGGTTGGCGGCTCCAAATTTCACCCGAGGTGCCCACAATCTGACGAAGGCTTATGCGGAGAGCAAATTTGTCTGCTTCTTGCACGGGGGTTGTGGCGATGTCGCAATGCCGAGCTCTTATTGACTGACTGAAACAAATAGTGGGTAGGCCTTGAGGCATTTAGCATTGAGGTCTGCCCATTATCCTTTCAATCAAAGCCAATCGGAGCCCGACGGCGTTCCGACGTCGACGCAGCTTCTGCGCACGGAGCGAACGACTTGCTCTTTGCATTGCCGAGAAGGCGCCGTCGCGGTCCGTAGAAAAACTACTAACTGGTCTGCAAACTTTGGCAGTAAAGACCAAGTAAAAATTTTGTCACCGCGAATGATATTAATGCAAGTACCTCAATATCCCCGGGGATGCACCACCCCCGAAAGATAACCCACTTCTATTTTTTAACAAAAGTTTCCCTTCTTTTTTTTTTTAGCTTTGAAAGATGTAATTTACTTTTAGTAATTGCAGGGAGCTGGCCAATGGTGACTGTAGCAGAAATGGTGCTACTTAGCCGCGGCGGGAGATAAGCAAAAATTGTTGACTGTGAAGGACATTCGTTTTTGGTAAGTTTCGCAAAACACAAAATCTAAAACTAGAATTTTTTTAGCTTTGTTTTTTTTATTGCACACTGAAAGTTTGTTTTAGTTCTTATTTTCAGCCAATTTGCTTTCGATTTTAGGTGGGCTATCTCTCCAGATATTACAACAAAAAGGAAAAAAAAAAATTAAAAACTTTAAAACAATATTTTTTTATAAAGCAGTTGTAGTACTTTCTACATGCAGCTCTTCAACTGTTACAAAATAATATGACCCGTAAGTCTAAAGCATAGATGAAGTTTTGAATCGTTAGTCTTTTCGACGTGTCCTTGGGGTTTCACGAGCAAGCAGACGCACCCGACGACTTCCTCCACAGTTGCTTCTCAGAACCCACGTCGATACGTTAGGTTCTTTGTGTTATCCGATTGGCCGACTCCCAGTGCGAGCAGCATGCCTCTGGTGCCTTGAATTGTCCCTAGGGAAATCTTAACATAGCACAAGAAAAAGCTTTCAGACCAAGTAACGTAAGGGCCGTGGCAATGCCTGGTCAAGATTTCGGTCGCACCCCAAAAGATCCCTGGGTGGTCAAAACGAATCGATCGGCGTACGATGCATAAAACCCCAAGCTTGACCTTGACCCGTTCGATCCGACAGGCCGCGTGCTGGCCGTGGAGACGCAGGAGATGAAGATCCCCAGCTACTCCAACTTCGACCCTGACCGGTCGTACTGGTCTGAATATGGCGGCCGCAACCGTCACTTCCTGTTCGTGGTCCGCGTCTTCTACGAGCTGGGCTCCGCCGGCTGCGAGGAGATCGGTGAGCTCTCCCCTCAGCCTCCCTCCTTTTCTCTCACCCTCGCTACACTGCTTGGAAACAACACCTCCTAGAGAGCAAAGTTGTAGCGCTGGGTTCTCTATGTTGCTTACCGGACGGGGCACAGATTGGACGCGAGTGCTGTGTCAGCTTTCGGCTGAGACTCGTGTTCGGTCAGCGATTGAACGCCGATCGACCTCGCTGGCTAGGAGGCGTTGCTCAAATGAGTCTCCGACCAATGTGTTTAGTTGTCCGCCCGTGCTTACGAGTGTCCCTGAAACAGCAGCAAATTATATCGCGGCAGCCGTCGTCTAGTGATGTGGATCGCAATGAACCTGACTGTTAAGTGCCTGAAGCATCGGCGAGGAAGACGATTGGATGCAGGCGTCGCTGCTATTGCATCATTTTGTCCCGTGGCTGCTTCAGTCTCTGGTAACTGGCCGGCTACAGAGCAAGCTGCAGCAGACTCTCAGAAATGCCTGTGCATCTTCTTTTCCACAGAGTATGCAGCGAACCCAACGGTGCAACATACTTGGCATGCTTGGCAAAGGACGAATTACAAAAGAGGCAGTTTGGTACCAAAACTCAAACTTCGCGACAGTGATGGGCAAGCGGAACACAATGTTCATTGTCGCTGTGCAGATTGTGCTTATGAGCCAGGCCGTCCTTCTAGACTCGCAATTAATTGGGTGTACTCTGTAAAGAGTGACGGTTGTTTATCTTCTGCGTTGCCCCCAGGTTCGCAACAATCCGCAGGTTTTCCCGCTCGCTACGTCACCGGGCGAAAATGGAGGGAGTGGGGGGACGGGCCAAATACCGTATTTTTCAAGTAATCATCGCACCGTTTATGAACAAGTCCCATGTATCTGCTTCCCTCCAGAACTTACATGCATCTAATTGTTGTTTTTAGGTAGTATCAACTGTCAACAGCAACAAAAAACAAGGTTTAGAAAAGGTTTTTTTTTTTTTTTTCAGAAATGTGACCTAGTATGTTGTATCTTCAGCCGATGAGATGTCATCTGCACTGTCACGGCGGAGGTGGCTTTTTGGCGCGAGAACGTTATCTCTCTCGCGTCATTCGCCAATCTGCTTCTTTCGATTGTCATGATTGGCTGTCGGGAAAGTGCCGCCATTGCTCAAGTTGCTCAAGTAAATATTGTTACGAAAAGAAAAGTGAATTTTGTGTTTGTGTTTGGATAGAAGGTTGGTGTGCACCCGCAGGTATGGTGACACTGGTTTTCGCCGTAGAAAAACATGTAGCGAGTGCAGTAGAACTGCTACCCTGGGATCTTTAGCGGGCACCACGCAGTAGCAATACACGAACGCACGGCGCTACAATGTTCTTCCAGACCTGGTAATGACGCAGTAATCGCACCGGTCATAGAGATGCGGTCAAGGCATTCATACCACCTCTTCTTTTTGACGGAACTAGCCACTCCAAAGGATGGTTCATGGTTCACATATATTTGTGCTTCTGTGTGTTTGACTGTGTCACAAATCTGAAGAACGACGAAAAACATCCGCTGGTAAAATTTAGGTCAGTTCAGATTTATCCGATAAACTCAGAATTTCAATGTGCCAGTGCCTCCCTCCCTCCCCCCCTCCAAAAAAAGATAAGACAGTTTTTTCACAATCAGGTTTGTACAGGGTCAATGTTTCTTGGGGAAATGTCATCACAGTTATCTTTCAAAATCTGGGACCAATGTCAAAAGGGGTCTTACCGTTTATCTCGACGAGGTCCATTCAGGGCGAGAGGTCGTTGTACTTTCGGGTCACAGCAAAGGCCACCGTTTTGGTTTCCAGTTTGAACCACGCTATTTGTGCTTTAGTGGAAGGAGAGGTTGTGTTTTTGTTACAATGTAAGGTATGAACCATAGAGATTGCATAAAATCTGGTGAAGGGGGCAGTTGAAACTTCCTACCTCTCCACTTGGCACGGCCACGGGGTAGGTTGAATAGCGTGGGATGAATATGAGCTTCCCAGAGACTACCTCCAGGAGTTTATTTATTTTAAGGTATTAACGTTTATCAGAACAGCACCTATGTGCAATGTTTGTGGTGGGACGAATTGGCATTGCCAATGGCAATTGCACAAACGTGAAATCCAGCTGAAGAAATCTTAATTGATGAGCGTGTTTTATTTATTTTTTATCTACTGCACGTTTATGCCAGGGTATTATTTATTTATATATTTACTTTAAACAAGAAGCACTGCAAAATTAAACTCAAAATTTCGAACAATTGAGAATCAAACAGAAATAAACTTTGAAAAACACCCACTGAATTTGATGAAAAATAAACTCGGAAAATACGGAACCCCAGTTACAACCACTCGTTACCGTTTTTGACGAGTGTGACATCGTCTATCAGCCACCCCTGGAACACTTCTGATTTGTATATACATTACACATGATTCTTCGGCCGTGGGCTCAAGATAATTCCGACCAGTGCGCCAAGATTTGAGAGTGATTCCAACTGCCCGATCAGGCGCGTTGCACAGTTTATGGGCCATGCTTGTAATACGAATTGCGAGGGAGTGACAAAAGTGTCAATCATCTGCATACATCTTCACCTGTCCGCCTCCTTTCTTCCTTTCCACTCGTTGTTGTTTGTTGTTTTATGTGTTTTTATTTTTTCTATAACACAATGTTGTTGTTGAGGGCCATGCTTTTTTTTTGTAGTTAGGAATTAGAGGAATGGAATGGTAGAGTCCAGCCGTTCCAGACGCAAGAATGGGCCCAGTGTCTCCATTCCTGCGAGTTGAAAGGAATGGAACTGTCAGAAACACTAATTCCTTGGAACGGAATCGGGGTTCTTACTCCGCCACGCTGGTTGCAACGCAGTCGATCAAACTCAAACGCAAATGTGATCGAACCAGCCTCGTGTCGGTGTCTCGACGATCCGCGTCCCGCCTCGCAGGGGTGGCCGACTTCGTGCCCCAGTGCACCACGACGGGCGGCCTGTTCTCCTTTCCCCGGTACGAGCCCTTCTGCAACGTGATTGGCCGGTCGGCGCAGTGGTGCTCCCAGCAGCGCTCACTCCGCTTCTGCAACGCCCAGTCTCTCGAGGTCAAGCTCAAGTCGGGTACGTTCTCCTAGACCGGTCGCTCTTCTCCGCCCCCAAAGTTAAGAAACGGATGGAGCGGAAGAAAGCCAGAAGCGACACTTCCTAGTCACTGAGGCCGCAGCGTCAAAACTTTTGTGTCGCCCACCGGAGGGCAGCACAGGGCATGGGTGGTACTCAAGTGCTGCAACAGCATTCGACTGAGAGTCGAGTCCAGGTGGCCTTGTTGTGTAATAGGTGTTGATAGCAACCATATGGCCAACCTTAGTACTCTTTTTCGGTGCAATGCCTTTTATAATATTGTTGAAGTGGCGGATCCCGGGGATCGCTTCTTTGGTGCCGCAAGTTGCAGTGTTTTGCAAAGGCTAGACTAGACTTCAAAGCTTCGGTGTGCACGATTGAAAAGTCCAAGAATTGTCTGTTGCGATGTAAGAACTGTAATAGGAGGGGCAACATAGCGAATTTCAGGAGAGAAATGGTGTCAATATACCACTTGGTACAAATGCACCGTTTTTCTGATGTCACGGAGAGAGAAAAAATCATCAGTCAGTGCCCGTTTTTTTTAATTTGAACCCATGGAAACAAAGCTCCGCATTATGCCCAACATGCCTCATCGCATGAGGCATTAAGTTTAGCTCCTTTTTCTTTTTTAGACTGCGCTTCTGAAACAGTTCTCATGCTGCAACAGACTTTAGGCATGAAAACACCATTTCCCATGGCGCCCTCTATGGCAAGGCATTACACGAAACGCACCTCTTATAAAATGTTTACTTTCAGGGTCATTCTCATCCAAGGTTAGGGTGACCACCTTCCTGCTAGCGAAATGCGGGACACGCAAGGCAAGGGGGGGGGGGGGGGGGGGGGGGTAGGTAGGTAGGTAGGTATAGAGGAAATTTATGAACACGCACACCACGAACCGAGGCCCTGTTAGCACATTTAATATCCTGTGCTGTTTATACACCTGCGAATTGTATTGCAGAAATTAAGCTAAAATATGTTATTAAAGGTGTCGAAATTGACAGCTTAAAAATCAACTGCACCACAACTCAATGCACCAAATGACATGAAGAAATTGGTGATGTACCAACTAGCTAAATTACCACTTTTTTAATTGAGAAAGATTAAGAAACAGCAAATGTTTTTCGGGTTATTGTTTCCGGTCAACGCTTACTTTTATAAACATGGTTCCACACACATTTTTAACATTATGTGCTTTTTCAAGCGTCGTGACTTCCAGTCAACGCTTACTTTTATCAACATGGTTCTACACACATTTTTAACATTATGTTGTTTTTCAACCGTTGTGAGTTTCAAGCTTTTTGCCTTGCGTGGCTGTCTCCACTAGAAGAACTTTCACAGCAATCATTTCGCATTGACACAACAGTATGAAGATAATTGCAATAATTTATATTTGAACTTTTGGCGACCACTTTTCTTCATAGTAACGCTGAGACGTAGGAACCTTACAATATTTTGCCCCTAAGGAAAAAGGCACAACGCCACTTACGCTTTTTATCTCCTGCAAGAATGACAGTCGCTTCCCGCAATGCCTGAATAGAAAATGGAGTACCTTTGCGATTCGCTTGATTACCAGCAACCTGCGCGCTTCCCCGTGCCCCGGTGTTCGGCAGCACCATGAGTTGTGGAGTGAATTTTACGACAGTGTGAAATGCGGGACATTTTGAAGATTTAGGAATTTCTCGCGGGACGCGGGACACGAGCCCTCAATGCGGGACAGTCCCGCGAGTCGCGGGACGGGTGGTCACCCTATCCAAGGTTGAGGTGTGTAGAAGAGAAAAAACGTCTTCATATCTTTTCGTTTTATGATACAGAATGCATTTTAATGTAAGTGAGGTTTGGATTTGTGCAGCCATCACTGTAACAGTACCGTGCCTTCATAGGCTAAATTTGGCGGGCAAAAATTCTGCTAAATTTAACGCGATGCCACTATGGGGCACATGGTCATGTAGTCGGTGGGCCATGCCACTATTAGGTCACACGGGGTTATGTAGCTGGTGTCACTATGGGTCATGTACGGTCTCATGATCGCGTGACATGCATCGGGACACGCCATTTCGCATGACCATAGTGGGAGCTTCTGGTGTCACGTGACATTGCAGTATCAACAACATTTCTAGTAAAGTTGGGTGGAGTCGTGTTGCGACGTGACATCAGGTCGCATGACGTCACACTCCCACGCTGCCCAGATCTGCGTGTACATTGCTAGTGTAATCTGTATACAGGTATGTGTCTGTGCAGTAAATCAAAGGAATGCCTTCAAGGGGGCACTCAATACTTTCTGTAGAGGCTTGTTTTTAATGGCATATTGTTTGTTGGGCTTTAGTCAATAAAAATGACCAGTTCTAGATGGCAAGACGTCCTAGTAAGCTCACAGCAATAGAAATACACCGGCACTTTTTTCTCTTGGGGGAGAGACTATCCTTGGGTACCTACACCACCTCCATAAAATTTGACCAATTAAAATCGTTAATTGCATGGGGATTCCAGACGTTATTATTCTTGATCTCTTTAGGCACGTTCTGCATTATATTTTGACAAAAACGTATCTTTCGGTGCAGGACAGGTAATGCAGCAATTATTTTTTGAAAACGCCTTCCGACAGTGCCCTCTGGTGTCTTCTCCTTGGCGCAGAAAGAGGGTCGTGTTGCAATCTATCATTAGTATTTAATGGGAAAGTCAACCACCCTTGGGTGTAATTTCGGGTTTTTAGGACGCCTAGAGCCCGTAGGTTGAGTTATCTTCCTAAATAGACAATTTCAGAATTCACTTTATAAAAAAAACAAGCGCCAGGGGGAAATTTTTTTTTTTAATATTTAGATTATTGAAATTAAAATTTTTAGTATTTCTTGTGCTTAAAGTGAAGCTGAAGAGGTTCTTGAAAAATGAGTTAGAGGTTGATTCTGAAGTATTTTTAGCCCATGAATCTGAATATCACCTTCGTTTTCCGTGAAGATATAACTGAACGCAGGAAAACACGAAAAAAAAAAAAGATTGCATCTCCACGTGGTGAATGATGTTGATTGGGGCAAAGCTCTGGTGGTGCTGATGCGCTGAGCCGCAGCATGCCGAGCTTTTCGTTCGTTTTCATCCATGTCTGAAAGAGAATGTGTGGTATGGAACGTGGTGATATACGCATTTGAGCATTTGACCGCAGCGCCGTCTCGTCTATAAACGTTGAGCCAGTGCATGTAAAGTTTAATGCGATTATATACGCATTTGACCGCAGCGCCCTCTCCTGTATAGACGTTGGGCGGCTACATGCAACGTTTCATCCATGACATCCCTAGCTCTTGAGTTACTACCTCATTTCAGAGCCCCCTACTCGTCCCGCTGTCGTGGCCGAGTGGTTAAGGCCACTCGGCCACGCGGGGAGACCCCAATGGACTAGAAATCCATTGGGGTCTCCCCGCACAGGTTCAAATCCTGTCGACTGCGCAAACATTTTTTCTTTTTTTAAGAAGACAGATGGGATGGCAATCGATGTGAGCACGGACGCCGGACAAGGCTAGACCCTAAGGAGCTTCGCCCCTAAAACCTCCGACCGTTGTTACATCGTAAGATTATATTTCGGCCGCCAAGCGCGTGTCGCTCGTGTGGGCAACGCATGCAATCGCAAGCTTGCCAGGTATGTTTCCCCGCACTGAAACCAGTTGTGGCGCTTTTTTTTTACCTTTCTGAAATAGGGAGTGTGTGCATTGCTTTGATAGCGCTGGAGATGCGTGAGAGCAGAGATTCTAAAAACTCCTTTTATGGCGTATTCTCTGAGAAAGAGGAGCTTCAGCAGTACTTTGAAAATGATTTTCTTCAGCCTCCGTGCACCAAATTGAAAAATAATCTCGATATTTATGATCCTGGAGGCCAAATGAAGACAACTTAACTGTTTTTTTCTCAGGTACAGAACTGCTTCGGTTTCCTTTTAACCTTCCCTTTATAAGTCTGGTGTTATTTGAAATAGATTGTTCTTTTAGGTTCTCGATGCAGCGTATATGCAGAAAAAACTATGTTTTTGTGCACATGTGAGGCATGGCAACACACTAAAAAAAGGCTTGTAAAATAATCAAATTTACTCCTTTTAAACCACTGAATGCAATTAACAACAAAAATAAAGTGTGCGACACTTATTTTATTCTAAAATAATTAAAAAATAGCAAGAGTGACATTTCATTGGGCTAACAAATGTTTCTATACCTTTTTCATAAATATAAAAAAATGCATTTTAACTAAAGCTATGCAGTTATATTCTACATTTTCTAAAGTATATCCATGCTAAATTTGGTTGTGATAGGGCGATATTAGAGAAATTCTTGTACACAAACTTCAAAGAAGTCGCAAAATTACATTAAAAAAAAAAAATGTGCTGGAATGTTTCCATAGATGTGTAGCTACACTCTTTTGCGGTGCGGAAAATAATATTTTGTTACTAAATTTCCACGAGAAATTGAAGCTACAGAAGACTGCAATGGAGATGAGACGACTAGGCCTACTTGTAAATGTAAATGGGATGGCGGTCAATGTGACAACTTGAAGAACCACGCAGAGAAAAATGGCTCAGATTCGTTCCGTTTTGGGTTGACTGCAGGTCTTCAAATCCGTATTTGACTAAATTCGCGATCATATCTGGCGGTAATTATTTATATACATCAAATATAAAGATTCAGAAATAACAAAACACAATAAAACCCAAAATCACAATTGTTGCAAAATATTGCGGTTTTGCGACCCGCATCTCCTCTTAATCAGGGGGAACAATAAACAAATCACTTGTTCGCACGTCGAAACCAGGCTTTCATTCGGTCACCCGTTGGACGAGCTCTGATCTGTCTGCTGGCATACGTTGCAGGCACGACGGTGGACACGCAACGCATGTCGTACACGGAGCACGCGGAGCGCACAACTTTTTACGTCCGCGTGCTTCGGGTGGCCTACTCCAAGGAGCCGGCGGAGGGCGGGCTCCTGCCCCCCTCGCCACCGCTGGCGCTCCACTGCAAGACCTTCCTTCCCCTTCAGCTCACCAGGGGGCTGTTCGTACCCGAGTTCGAGAGCCTCTCCGCCACCAAAAAGCGCCTGGAGGCCTGGATACGCGCCACGGGTGAGCTGGACAGTGCCATCCCTCGTATTCTAACACAAAATAACTAAAACAAGGAACGCTTTAACAAGGAATGTTCCTAAAGTTGAGGCTTCGGCGAGTTGGTACATACTTCGAAATTAAAAACAGCGCGCGGAAAGACGAGGACCAGTCAAAGAAGTGACACGGATGTAGTGCTGCGTCCGTGTCACTTCTTTGTCTGGTCCTCGTCTTTCCGCGCTGTTTTTAATTCCGAAGGAATGTTCAAACAAGAAATAAAACTAAAACAAGGAGTGCTCTTAAAAGGCATAGCTAAAAAAAGGAATGCTCTAACAACGATTCACTCTCTCCTGACCGTGCCCATAGGCCATTGATCACCGGTGATGAATGGTTTCCAAGCGCCGTCAAGAAATTAAATTGAGTGCGAAGAATTACGTTCCACAATCTCGTGGATAGCCGAAGAACGCTAGTTTTGGTTTCAAGGTAGGTTTCAGCTTTATCACATGGTGGGGGGCTGTCAAACAATAGTTTTGGGAACAGTGGTTGCGCTTGTGTAACATGGCTAACTGCTTGCATCAGTCTTCGCGACAAAGACGTCATTATTTACATAATTGAACCCTATTGTGGCGCATTTTTTTAGACCAAGAGCTCTGGGGACACTTCAAATTATGTTGTGAGCGTCGCTTAACAGATGGTTATCAGCGAGCATCATTATAATTTCCAAGGCTGTCCTGAGACGCCATGCACATTTTATGTTTCCAGCAGGGCGCACAAAAATTTGAAATATGAGGAAACTGCAACCACAGCTATGACAAAACCAAGGTAGAGCACAAAGAAAGCATTCTGCTGGGAATGTGAGGTGTATTATCTGTGCTACAATAATATAAGCATTCCTTCGTTGAAAAGCAAATGTGTTACGGAGGCTAACTCTCCGACGAACCGAAAATAGACAGCATTATTCAAAGTGCACTAACTTTCAGAAGTTACAGCCGTGGGTGTGGGGCACATTTTTTAGAGGATGCCTTTATGTCCTTCTGTTTAGGGTGATGCCACCCTTTGTGGTACCCGATGCCGACAGGACAGCATGCGCTTACGGGTAAAATACAAAGAAATCGACGAAAACAAAATGTCGCCATAGCACAGTCAGCGCCACAAACGCGTGCAGGGACACGCTCTTTCACATGCTTCTGAACAAAAAATAAAAGTGTGGGACAAAATGGCCTGGTGTCTCCACCCTAAGCAAAACGGACATGAAGGCACTCTAGTTTTTATATATTCAAAATTTTTCTTATTTGTCGTTTAATTTGACGTGGCTGTAGAAGTTTCGGCATTATACGCCAATATTTTAAGAAATAAAATTTTAAAATATCTTTTTTTACTTTATGTTACCCGCTGTTTCTTTTAAAATAACAAGTAATTTGACACGTTTTGCTGTGTCCTATTACCTCCATACGCAAGCTAGTAAGGAAAATAAAAGCAGTTGCACGGATTTTTTGCAAATTGCTACTTTTTCCGTGGTCAGGAAAGAGTTAACTAAAATGCAGTGAACATTTCGACGTCCATTTTCAAAATAGATGAGTATAATCTTGACATCCGTGACGCAACTCCCTAAAGACAATGAAAAAATTCTTAAAATCATTTTGACGTCTCCCACAAAAATGTCTTTTTTTTTTTTTTTTTTTGGTTTTCATTATTTTGACATCTGAGATTTGGGACTTCGGAACTTCGGAATGGAAGGTGATAGAAAGTTGCGGTCAAAAAACATTTCACGTTGCTTGCAGTTGGCGTCGCGGTTTAACATGCATTTTCGGACAGCGAATCCCTTGCAGTCGACTGCAGTTTTTTTTAACCTTGATGGAGAATGCAAGAAAACTTTTCAGAGTACAAGTTGACTGTCGGGTTACACACAATGTTTTCCTAGGCTATGCTAAATATTACAGTATGCAGCGCCAATGCCTTTTATGATTTATTTCACTCTATTTTGTTGCTTTATGTCTAAATATAGTCGCCGACCGATTTTACGAACTTTTCAGGGACTGAAAAAACGTCCGAGTAATAGAGCAGCACAAAAAATCAGCAGATTAAGAAACTTGCCTTGATTACGTCTAAGCTGGCTTAAAAAAGCCGTCAATAGCGCCTCACTCCAGGTTACCCCCCCGCTTGGGTTCGGCCACTTTCTATTAGCTTGAGAGTCGCTGTCTGTCGTATTTTCTACCGTTACGGTTAAGTACTTTCCGCGCTTCGCGGCGACGCTTCACGGTGGCAGAAGAAAAGACGAGGCAATGACGTCCAAGCCAGCGTAGTTCGAAAACACGATTCACCAAGACGAGATGAGAGGTGCAAGTCCACGACTGCAGAATGGCGATTGAACTAAGCAAAATGGCAAGAATAGTGATGATAATGACGTGCAGCTAGAAAGAAAGAAAGCTGGAGCATAGCTTCACCTAGCAGTAGGGCTTAGCAGTACTCAAGTAGTGCTGCCAAGCCAAGCCAATCCACATGCAGCCCTCATAGAATCTAAAAGGCGGCTTCTTGGTGGTGTTTCCCGCTGACTGCTCGCGACGATTTTGTACGAAAAAAATCAGACTTCGGACTTCGAGTTGTCTAAAACATTGGTTGTGAATATGCACTATTTCTATCGGGTAGGTCGCGGTTTCTCCTTTGGGTCCGAAATATTGAACAAGTCCGGACTATCGGCGTCCGAAAAATCGGTTGGCGACTCTAGTGACTCTTTTACTTGACGTCAAAGTAGTCGCTGTCTATCTAAAACAAAGAATGCTGAAACAAAAAATAACTAAAACTAAAGCAAAAATTGCCCAAAAAAGATACAACTAAAGCAAGTAATGCTTTAGTAAAGAATAACTAAAATGGGGAATGCTCTAACAAGTAATTACTAAAACAAACAATGCTCAAACAAGAAACGTGTAACTAAAACTAAAGCGAGAAATGATCTAACCATGATATACTAAACCAAGGAATGCTCTAAATAGGACTCTCTAAAACCAGAAATGCTGTCACAGGAATAACTTCAGTAAGGAATGCTCCAATAAGGAATAACTAAAACAAAGGAATACTATAACAAGGTCTACTAAAACAAGGTAGGCCCCAACAAGGAGCGACTCAGGCAAAGAATCTACCCAAACAGGAGCCCGGGTGCTGAGCTGCGAGACGGTGGCCATGCGGCTGTTCACGGGCGGCGAGGCCCACACGGGCATCGAGTCGAGCTTCACGTACAACAACGGCAATCGCAGCGAGTACTGGATCTTTGTGCTCAGACTGTACCTTGACGGGGCGTACCAGGAGCCGCCCCAGGAGGTGCTGCCCCCGCCCCCGGAGGTACGGGACGTCGGCTGCTGCACCGTGCTCTGATGCCACCGCCTTCCGAGCCCCCGGTCCGCGGCACCACTCTGGACAGACTCTGTGGCTTGTTTTTGTCTTGCGCTGCGGCTTCGGCTCTGGCCGACTCGGAACCCGGCCTTGCCGGTTCGGGTCTAGTTCATCCTACGGGGAAATCTCTGGAGTGTGCAGAGGGAGTTGCAGAGTTCGAAGGATGGCCGAGTCGGTTTCTGACTTTTGCTCTTTGGCTTAAGATCTGGGTTGTGTCGTGACTGCGGCTGAAGCTTCAACTGCAGCATTACTTTGGACAAACACCGTGGCTTGTCTTCGTCTCGCTCTGCGGCTTTGGCACTGGCTTCGGCTGGCTCGAAACCCGGCCTGGCCGGTTTGGGCTTCATTCGTTCTACGGGAGATCTAGAGAGAGGCAGTGGGAGTCGCCTTCAAAAGTGCGTACAGCCAAGTCGGTTCCGACTTTTGTTTCGGGTTGTGTTACGACCATGGCTTGGGCCTCAACTGGGTCGGAACCTCGCAGCAGTTCGGGCTCTGTTCATTTTCCGGGAAGAGTAGATAAAGAGGGAAGGAGTTGCATCACGGGAGTTCCGTAACCGACTGAGTGTCTACGATAGATTTGAACTGGTTTGGGGTCTAACGTGGCCGGCTGAAGCCATACTCATTTTGCGGGCAACACGAACAGTGTTGAGAGGAGTTTCATCTTCGGAGTTGTGAGGTTTGACCGGGTTTTGTTTACATGTCCTCCGGTTCTGTAGCTTGTGTTGCGGCTCCAACTTTGGCTTCAGGTTGTACGACCTAGCCAGTGTGAGCCTTGTTCATTTTGTATTTACTTTGGAAAAAGGTGGGAGACATTGTGTATCGGCTGTTGTTTGGCGGATGATGGGGTCTGAACTCAGGTTTCTAATGTGTCATGCGTTTACCCGGTAAGGTTTAACAAGAAAACCCTCTTTCATACTTTCCCTATGAATCTTTCTTGCCCGGTTTATTTCCTACCCGTATCTTTTGCTCGGCGGACGGTATCCCGAATTTCCGGTGCGAGGCCTTGTGGCTGACTTTTTGCTCTTCCGCTGCGTGTCTATTTGTGTTTCATAGTCCTTTTATCAATTGAGAACCTCACTTTGGCTTTGGGGGTGGCACCGCAGTCCTCAAACAAGTGTTGCCATACTTGCCATCAAGTGCAGTCGCGGACAAAAGAAACTAAATTGCGGAAACATGGATGAATGGATGCACGCGGCTGGACCCTTTTAATTCGGTAGCAACCTGCGCCACCTAGCCAGTGTGGCAGTCCACCTTGTAAGTGCCACCCATAGTGGTAACGAGAGGAGGCTTTATCCGTCTGTGGATTCTGTCACGTGCCTCCTCAAACTCTAGTGTACTCGCATAATGTGACGCCACGCAGTTACATCGACGTCAGTGACGAGGCACTTTTATGCATTCTGGTTTGGTCTCTCCACGACTGCACTTGGGGATTTTTGAGCCTCCAAGTCCCAACGTACCTGTTGGCAAGCATGGTGCCATCTCATAGGGGATATGAAATAGCGGTCCTCTTTCCATCTTTCCTGCCTGCTATTTCCTATACAGAGCGTAAGTTTTTCTGGTTCTTTTGCGGGGGTTAAGGTGACGTCAGTATGCCGAGCTCCGATTGGCTTTGATTGAAGGATAGTGGGTATACCTCAAGGTAGGCTGTCTCGAGGTCTATCCACTATCCTTCAATCAGAGCCATTCTCGGCATTCTCACGTCGCCACAACCTCTGCAAAAGAAGCAGACAAACTTGTTCGCTGGATAAAAACATAATTGAGGCTCGAAAACTTGGCGAGTGTCAAAATGGGACTTTGATATTGATTACAATGTGCCCCAACTTTTCGCTGCCTTTATTTTTTATTGTGGCAGATGTTGGAGTGTGTCAACTTATATTTCGGGTGTTCTTTACATTGCAAGCCGGACATATTGCCCAGGCACATCAGTCCAGAACATTTGCCAAGGGCCTTTTCTCTAGGCTGTAAGCGCTTTGAAGAGGACGAGCAAGATCAGGAGCACACGGGCGAAACCGGACGGATGCACCTCAGCAATGCAGCTGCAGTGTTGCGCTTCTGCCTATGCTATTTTCACTTCTGCTACAATTTCGTTGAACGGTGGAATTAACAAGCTGTGTTTGGCAGTGCTGCAGAGGTTAAGTCACAAAGTGTTTGAAGCGCGTCCCGATATGTTAACCAGTGCGCGTGATGAGAGTCGAAAACAAAATGCACCTGTACTGCCGTGCCTCAGTACCTTCACCCAGGACTTAATTTACAAGTGGAACATTGAAGAGAGCGTAGGAACATTACCTTGTTTTTACTTTTAGCGGACATACCTTTGTTCAAGTAAGGGAACTGTTTATTCTGCTGCATAAATGACAGAAAGCTGTTTGACATGGTAACTTCTAATGTATGAGAACAAGAAAACACTTTGTCACTTTCAACTCTGAGGTGATTTGTTTTATTATATGTATCAGTATTACCAGCTGCTGGCAACACGTGCACAGTAGGACAGCTTATATTGTCCCTGAAGTGTTGAACAGTTCTCAAGATCTGAAACAAGTTTGTACATCTACGCTTGCGACCCGCCGACAGGCAGAACGCTCGAGCTTTTGTCTCTTTGGTGTTCGTAGTCGCAGCTTGGTCGGAATCATTGTTGCCATGTGCTGTTCTGTTTACTAGCTTTATGTACAGAGTTTACGCTGCGAGACCGAACCAAGAATAAACTGTTGTAAGTTGTTTTCGAAGTGTGGCATTTGTTTTTTTTTCTAGCCTTTATTTACGAGCATTACAAGTCTGTTTGCAGCGAGCAACTAATTAGGTACCAGTGTCTGGATGATGGCTGGGATAATATTGCATTTCATGTATGAGAAAGTTTGTTTGTACTATTTTATTAAGTGGCTGCCGTCCGACATTCGGGACGGAACTGACATTACTACGATAAATAGAAAGGTCTGGAGGACATGAAACAATATGCTTAAAAATCACTAAGCAGCAGCGTGATAGTTCGATCTCTTTGAAGGAACATCAGGTTGAAATCGTAACACTACTATTTCATCTGTGCGGCAATCACAAACCGTAGAAAAAAAAAAACCGAAAGAGCAATCAACAGCTCGTGTCTGGATCAGCTTTCAAGGTCATCGTGCCGTATGAAAGAGTTGCGTAATGATGTAATGTTCTCTTGACGCCCGACGCTGATATAGCGGACGTCGCTGGTTTCACTCAGATTCGGTGAATGTCCGTTGCTCGAAATCTGTGCGCAGTTTGTCACGGTCTTTGGTGGCGAAGTAACGCAGCGGATGATAGATGAGATGCGGCACGATCACGATGACGGCGACCTTCTTCCATGTTAGCCGGCCCTTGAACATGCTGGCGGTCGGCCCCAATCCTTCTGTGTCGTGTTCGGTTACTTACTGAGCAGTGCTGCTCCACCTGAAACCGGCACAAGCGATGAGAAGGTAACCGCAACCGTCGCCCGTACGAAGACCCCTTCTTCGACTGCACTTGCGAAGATGAACGATCATCCCGACTAGAGCACTATATAGCTCCTACGGAGCAGAGTAGCGCAATCCTTTGAACTCCGTGTTTTGCCGACAACATGGCCGACAGAGCGGCTCGGCGCGAGTCACGTGGTACTCAGGGTTGCAGGAGGCGGCCCGCCCTATGGGAGAATACATGGAGATCGACATAACATGGCTGATTAAAAAACTAACGGCGAGTTCACATTTTTCAAAACTAGCCTGTCTTGAAGTTAGTAAAGCGCTAAACACTTTATCAAAGTTTCAATAATATCGGATGCGTGTGCAAAGTTTGAGAAGGCAATTTCCAAGGCAATGGCGTTTGAAGCAGACGATTTTTGCTCGCAGCGGAGATGGGCTTTTCGGGTTGGCCGGAGCGGGTCACGTGAATGGTGTGACGTCGCCGTGTCGTCTGCTGCATGATGCCGCTCAGGCAATTTTTAAAAAAAAGTTACGTCCTTGTATGGCACAAAACTTATCGCATATTATTCTAAAATGTTTCATTATTATGTCAAAAATGATTTCCATTCCGCAGATCCCCACAAAACTGAAGAAACGACGATTTTCTCACGTTCTCCATGCATTTCTGACCGCAGTTGGAACCTCCGGGCGTTCGCCGCTAGTCGCCGAGAGACGGCGTTCTAGATTGCGCTACTCTGCTCCGAAGGAGCTATATAGTGCTCTAATCCCGACTAGAGCACTATATATAGTGCTCTAATCCCGACGAACGAAGCAAATGAACTTGCTGACTGGGCCAACTGGGCCGCCAGAGCCCGTACACTCTAGGGAAATTCTATGCCACTGGGCTCCTCGTGGCGCTAGTAGTTATCTTGGCTGCTGCGCTTTCGATCAAAGTTTCTTTCTATCTTCCTTCGATACTTGGATCACTCAAGATCACTGGATGCAGAAAAAATCAGTTTTAAAGATGTACAGTGTACGAATACAGGACATAAGAGAAGTTCTTTACTGTTTGAGGCGAGAACGGGAGTTTTGAGTACGAGGACTTATGTGGTTAAAGGGCAACTCCGCTTCATTTTTGGTTTTGAAAAAACAATGCAGTCCTCTTCAGTATCGCCTAAGAAGACCACACGTCAAATATTACGACGCAGTTGTTTCTAAATGTTTCTTAAACGGTCCGGCAAACTTTGCAACACACCTAGTTGCCGAAATCGGCTGATTCGAGCGGGCGAATTCAGGCGCAACCAACAGCGCAGTCAAGGCTACGGCATGGGCGGAGCCAACATTGAGCTAAACGCCATCTACATGGCCCCCTTTTGCTTGTTTTTACTTCTCCGATCGAGCGTAGCGCGTGACGTCAGCAACGTTGCCTCTCGGCGCTCAGCGGTGTCCACGTGATTGACGTACGCGCCTGCGCAGCGCGCTTCTTGGGAGCAGACCAACCGCCCGCCGTGGTCCCGCCGTTACCGCCGTCTTCCGCGTCACAACCACCGTCGTCGTCTCACCGTTTGTGATTATTGCCTCTCGGAGTTTCGTCCACACTATGGACACCACATGCGCAGAGTCCCAGACTTATGCCGCAGTTGTGCAGACGTCATCGAATGCCATAGACACCAAAACGTGGCGAAGAGTGCGGAGCAGACGACACTCGCGCCTGCCGCACGCCCGCCCGCCCCCATCCCGCCCGTCTTTGGGGCGAGGATCACGTGACCTCTCGTACCACGTGATGGCCATGTACTTGGCGGCCCGAGGCCAATGTTGCCGGACGGAGTCGAAGTTTCGGTTTCGATTTCCGCTCGTGTTTAAAATTAGATTTAAAAATATATATCCCATTTTTCGCGAAGCAAAAGACGTAGTGTCTTTTACTAGGGCTTTTTAATTCGAAATCACTCATTATCCCGAAATCTTCGGAATTGAGCGGAGTTGCCCTTTAAATTATGTGCTGCATGAGAGCGAGACACTAGTCTAGAGCGCTTGGTCAGCTTGGTTTCGAACATAGAGTTATTATAATAAACGCGTACATTACAATAACTAGGGTTTCGAAGTGCACGGGGCTTCGCGCTGTCCTCCCTGAAGGGGTAGCAGATTTGGCCGGGTTTTGCTGGCGACGATGGAAGGTCACAAAGAGGCGATTATAAGATTTGTGGAAATTATCTAGGAACAACTGCTAACATAGGTTCCGCGTAGCTCCGGCCCAGTCTCATGAAGGCACTCTATCTCAACACTGTTTCCCATTGGGTAACGCCGAGAAGGCCTGTCCAGAGAAAAATTGGCGGCTCCCTCGGCGTTGGGAAAAAGGTGGGAAGTGATGTTTTTAGTTGTTTTGCCCGGTCCCTCGAAGGCCATCGTGGTGATATCACACACCGCTTAGTGATAGTTAGGGGGCGGGGGAAAAAAAAAAAAGAAATCATGTCTGTTTTGTTTTTTTTAGCTTTGGCTAGGTAGCGCAAGCTACCGCCCATTACAACGGGTATAGCGAATAATATCCATCCATCTTTGCTATCCATTCATCAATCCATCAAATTTTGCAAAAAGACGGTTCGCCGAAAGTCGAACGAACCCGACGCGCCCGACGCTGCCCGACGTTCGACGTCGAGCATTGTGTGCGGGAAAAGTGCGCGACACCCCTATTTCCCCTATCCGTTCGCACTCGGAACGCGCTCTGACATCGGGGCACCCTACTCGGAGTGCTCGGGCAGCGCCTCCTGCTCCGCATTGTCCTGCTCGGAGTGTGAATAGGGACATCATCCATCCTAATGGTGACCTATTGCTCAGTGCCGAAATGCACTTCTCGAAATGCGCCTGGCGTCAGCTTTCACCGGTACCCAAAGACGCCATGGCTACGAAAAGCTTGGGTCTTCAAATTGAGAACGGGCAAGACACCGTCAACGACGGCTGTCGTCTGCAGCAAGCATTTCCAGGAGCAGGACTTTGTTTACCCGGTCTACAAGTCTCTGGGTAAGTTCTGCCCCGACCGCTTCTCTGCCCAGTGTGAACGTGCTTGTCACTTTTCTTTTTACAATTAGGCTACAAGTACCGAAGGTTAACGGCAGAAGCAATTCCGTCCATGAACCTTCCCGCGCGTCCACAAGGTGCGAGGCGATCGAGCGAGGGATCGGCGAAACGGCAGCGTAAGTGTTCCAGTCTGTGTAGTAAGTTTTCAGAATATTCGTTTGCACAAATGCAGCTTCCTCACTATACTTGTTTCCATTTCAAGAAAACAATGAATGTTTGTGCATTGTTCATACGCCGCGCGAAGTGGTTCTTGTAGGAAGAAGAGATGCCTTTGGCGTTTGAAACATGTACGTCTTGGTGAGATAACAGATATCCAATCTAAAATGCAGCTCCGCAAGAAGCCGGACTTCTTTTACTGCGGTTTTTGAGGTGCAAACGAGTGAAGACCGTTTTACTGAAAGGGGGCAAGAGAAAAAAAGGGGAAAGGGCTACCGGTGCTTTCCTTCTTGCTGGTGTGTTAGGAACGAGTGGAAAACCCGGATGAGCGCTTAAAGGCCCGTTCAGACACTTGCGAGTTTTTAAGACCAAGGGCTTTAGAACCTCTTAAAAGGGCCCTCTGCAAGGACTTTTTTACTGGTCTTTAATTTGCATCGAACCTGTGCGCACTTAAAGGGGCCCTGGAACAACTTTTTGACTGGTTTTTAATTTGCACCGAACCTGAGCGCACTGAACGTAGTAACTTAAAGAAACTCTTCTTTTCTCAAATTTCGCTTTATTTTAAATGTTATAGGCAAATTAAAATTACAAAAACAAGGAAACAATAACCTCCTTCATGACGTCCGTGGTCGCTTGAGCGGCCGGGAACTAGAGGAGGGGCAGTGAGCTTAGCGAGCGCCCACGCTAACGCCCTCCGTGTCGACAGCTCGAGAGGGCGCCACGAAAGCACGTGTTGGATAGGCTGTATGAAGCGGGCGGCCAGGGCGGCTTCCATAGCATTTGTGTCTCGATTAAAGACTAATTTGCATAGCACTTCATTGGCCACATACGACAGCAAACGCGGTGTAAAGATCAGTTCAGAACGGGAGCCACTTCGCGCTGCCATACCGCCAAATGGCCAAATCGCCAGCCAAGCCCGCGTTGAAAGCCTTCGGAACGCTTGGAACCGGTCGGATCCTCAAGCCAGTATATGACCACAGCGCCGCCACGTACATCCGGGACCTTTCTACGGTCTGTGTTTGTCGGAGCCTCATCCCACTATCCTTTTCTAGTATGCGCCGTTTTTTCCGCTCCTTGGTGGCGGGTTTGTCGACGGGTCTTTTCTTGTTTCCGTGCTTTATAAACTGCATTTGTTTCTTTTTTTATCTAAAATACAGAACGAAAACTAATTTCATACATAATTGAAATGGTTCGCGACACTTTTATTTTGTATTTCGACTAAAAAAAAGCTTTAAGCGGCTCTGACCAGTTGTAAGCCCAGGACCAAAGACGTCACATATTGCGCGCTTTCGACAACGCGGGACGCCCTCGTAGGTAAAGGAGGTTTCTGCGTCGTCCAGTTAAAATATGACTCACTGATATTTATTTACTCTCTCCGTGCCCGCTGGCTTGCTTGAACCCCAAGAGACGTGAAAACCGCAAAAAAGGTAGACGCTTAAATATGATTGCAGGGCCCCTTTAACGCAATAACTTAATTAAACTTTTCTCGAATTTTGCTTTATTTTAAAAGTTATGGGCAAATTAAAATTACAAAAACAAGCAAAAAATAACCTCTTTCATGACGTGCTTGGTCGCTTCAGTGACCGTGAACTAGAGCAGGGGTAGTAAGCTCAGCGAGCAGTCACAGCTGCCGCACTCCATGTCGACGGCTCGAGAGGGCGCCACTAAAGCATGTTCTGGATAGGCTGTATGAAGCGGGCAGCCAGGGCGGCTCGCATTGCATTTGCTGCGCGATGAAACACTAATTCGGCATGACACTTCATTGGCCACAAACGACAGCAAACACGGGTTAACAATCAGTTCATAACGGGAGCTACTTCGCGCTGCCATACCACGTTTATGGCCAAACCGCAAGCCAAAGCTGCTCACCGAAGGCCTTCGGAATGCCCGCAACCGCTTGGATCCTCCAGTCCATACGACCGCAGCGCCGCCGCATACATCCGGGACCTTTCTACGCTCGCCACTCATCGGTGCCTGATCCCACTACACCTTTCTAGTATGCGCCGCCTTTTCCACCGCTTAGTGGCGAGTATGTCGACGGGTCATTTCTTGTTTCTGTACTTTCTAAACTGCATTTGTTTCTTTTCTGATTTAAAAAGCAGAACAAAAACAACTTTTATAAATAATTGAAACAGTTCGTGCCACTCATATATGGTATTTCGACTAAAAAGAAGCTTTTAGCGGCTCTGACCAGTAGGAAGTCCAGGACCAAAGAGGTCACATATTGCGCGCTTTCGGCACTGCGGGTCCCTCCGGAAGGTGGAGGAGGTTTCCGCGTCGTCCAGATAAAATATGACGCACTAATATTTAATTACTCTCTCCATGCCCACTGGCTTGCCCGAACCCCAAGAGACGTGGAAACCGCAAAAAAGGTAGACGCTTAAATATGATTGCAGGGCCCCTTTAATATCTCTTGCGACGAGAGGACTCACTGGCGCCACCTATTGAGTAGCAGTGTAAACTTGGCAGTCCCGCATATTTTCTATTTCTCTCGCACATCACCCTTTCTTTCTTGGCTCGAAAAACTTTTGTCAGCATTATAAGCGGGACGAAAATACAGCGCAAACAAAACGACGGACCAGTAGAAGAGTATACACACAGACAAGGCGCTGACTTACAACTGAAATTTAGTAAGAAAAACATGAAGGCCACAAAAAAAAACCTGAACAATCCACCACACCTACGTCACCACACAGCATGTTCCCATTGGCCGAGATATTCTATCTCTTTTTGATAGAGGGCCACAGAGGGGGCGCTGACACACGTGCCCTCCCTACATCGTGATATGTAAAATGCCTCCGTTATCTCCCTCGTCCTTTTGTTGTTGTGTCGCATTGTTATTGTTGTCTCTTCAAATTTAGGGGCGATCACGCTGCCTTAACCGACGAGTGCGTCGATATACTCTTCTGTTATTCAGAAGAGTCATTTGACGGCTTCCGCGACGAAGAGTAGATGTGTAATCGTCACCTTTTTAAGTTGACTCAATAGACTGTTTATGCACTTTTTTCCGTGGAAGTCTCATATTCACACATTGGCATACTCTGGCTCGGCAAATGACGGCCATTTGCCAAGCGTGTGAAACGGCCACCATTTTGATTTCAGTGGTTGAAATGAACCAAGGAAGGGACCACCCAATGGTGTGCCCTTTCTGCATTTTCGCTCCTGGTTGTAGCAAGTGCCCATCCCCCAGTTTTCCACAATTATCTCCAAACTTTGAGCGGGCGCTCGCTCGGTATTTAATGGTAAAAGTAATTGCGCACGAGCTGGTGAATGAGCAGGGTAGAAAACCCTTCAGACCTTGTCGTGTTTGTCCTGGATTTTTCGTTCCTTAATCTCATGACTGTTCTGACGGCCGCAAACTATTCGCCTCCTTTCAAAATTTTTCCCTTCGCAGTTATTTGTATAAAATAACTATTCACTTCCTATTCGCATCAAATTAAAAAAATCATTATTTGCACATCTCTATATGGCATCTATGCCAAACTAATGGCGACCTTCTTCAAGCTGACAACGGAAGAAGCTGAAAATACTACCAGGCAAAGGATATATGAGGCCTGTACGTTAGAGACGTCAATACAACAGGACGCACAGATCGGATACAATGGCTGCGTAAGCGTTTGTTTCAAAGTGTTGTTCATTTCATCTCTTGGCACAAGTAACTCATGCCTTTTGACGGCGGAAATTTAATCGATGCGCTTACGGGTCGTCGCTCTGTACTACTGAGTTCTTGTGTTCACACCATTGAAACTAAAACAAATCAAGAAAGAACTACGAGGTGATCAAAGAACCAATTCTCGTCTGCCATTGAAGCGCGAAATCAGTAGTGCCCAATGAAATACTGTTTCATGACCACCATTTTGTCGAAATTGAAACTGCTTTTTAAGCCACTAGATGGCACTGAATTTTGAAAATTTTGTTAGCCATTGTGGAATGAACATCGGTACCGAAAAGCGACCGCCATTACCTTTCTTGCATTCGCGCCAGATGCCGAATGAGTCCCCGGCTCGACCCCGAGTCAGTATTGACTTTTGTTCTCATTTTTAATTGAAATAAATACTAGTCCAGTTTTTTTATAACAATTGTGAAAGTGCATTGTTTGGCTTGAACTGCCATTTCCAGATAAAAGAGGCGCTGCTGAACCTCCTCAGCTGCCACAGCCTCTGATCTCCCCAGAGCTGAACCCCTTGACAACACAACAGGATGCGAGGAACAGTTCCACTAACTGTACAGTGGAGTGTGCCACAGCCGAAGCAGCACGAGAGATGGAACATGCGGAGGACGACGGTCTGTGTACGAATAGCTTCTGGCATTTTTAGTAGCTTTGCAACAGTTTGATTTAGCTCAGTTTTTAGAGAAAAAGAGCAATATCCACTAATCCAACGAAAAAGAGCTTGCTGGTAAGGTTGCAAAAAGAAACGAAAAGCAGCAAGTTAACTGATGTCACCAAGAGAGCCCATCGGGACACGATTCAAACCTAGCGAAGGTTATTTGCAGGCAGGATGATCACTATCTTTCTGTCTTTTCCTCATTTGCTGTTAATTGTATTTGGGCTTTCTCTTAAGTGGTTCTTAATTTGTGGCACAGAAGTAAATACAACATCAATGAAAACAGTGAGGCTGCAGGCAAGTTAGTTAACGTTTGCAAGATGTTAACTAAGCTGAGACGGGCAAGAAGACATGTACAAGTCTATCGCTTGCATCTCCCTTTAACTTCCAAAGGTTTTTGGTTTTATTACACTAGTCCCAGGTTATTTAACTGCACGATAAATTTAGCATGTTGCTCTACCAACAGCTTTTCTATAGACCGACACGCGGAGCGACTCTGTTTACCAACACGGCCAGAAGGCCGCGCATGCGCGGTAGCTATGTGGGCAAAAGCAGCCCGGCTCTCCGTGTTTTCGCCATTGCGTTCTACGGCGTGCGCTCGCTGTGGACGTTGCAGGGAGGCTTGTGTCTTTATTTGTGCGTCGTATTTAATCACAACGTATGTCGTATGCTGTGCCCGACTATTTGAGCTCGCTGCCCGAGCCTAAACGGCAGCGGTATCGAAACAAACTGTGCGTGGACGGCGTTGCCTATGTGGATCCGTACGCCGTAAGCAAGGCCTGCTGGACTTCCGACGTAAAGTTGCTGCCACCGAAGTCGACGGCTCACGTCGTCGTTTATTTAGTTTTTTTCGCCAAGCCAGTTCACGGCCGACACGGTGCAGGCGTACAAGTCTCGAGGCCTACGATTACTTCGAGTCGGTTTCCGCACTGCCGGCGGGATCAGCAGACTGTGGGTCTGCGGAAGTGTGTGTATTCGTTAATTGATTAAATACACACGGCGTCTTCAAGTCAAGGTGTGATATTTTTCCTACCCTCATGACCACAAGGCATGACAAGCAGTAACGCTTTGTTTGTTCTGCAGTCTTGGCAATAACACGTTACATTAAGTAATGGCGTTGCCGGTAACGCGTTACTTTTTTTTACTACCGTAGTAACCTACTCGTTCCGTTTTCGACAGAGTAACGGGTAACGTACTTACGTTACTATTTCAAGTAACGTAGTTACGTTACTCGTTACTACTTCGTGTTTTAGGCGTCAAGCCATGTTTTTCTTTGCGTTTTTTCTCGTGAGTATTTAGATGAAACCGTAAAAAGAGATAAAGTAATTATGTTCAGTTTCTGAATGAACATAATGTTTCTTGATATATATGACCTGTATCGTCAAAACCGTAAAATGTGCTCAATCATAATTTAAAAAAAATATTAACACAGAAGTAACGCGCGTTACTTCTTATCAGTAGCGGTAACGCGTCCCTTTTATTTTTAGGTTACGTAGCTCAGTAACGCGTACCTTTTATTTGCAAGTAACGAGTAACGTATTTCGTTGCTTTTTTCAGTAACATACAACACTGCCGTTCTGTCGCCGATCCCCTTCTGCTGGGTAGAATGGGCGTACCGAGCCTTCGACGAGCGCTTGGCCGATGCTTTGTGCGCAACACTGTGGGAACAAAATCCGGGTGGTCTCGATCAGACAACGGTTTCCCTGCACATAAGCAAGCCTCGGGACGGAGATTGAAATGGAAGCCGCACTTGCCTTCAAGGAAGTGTTTGCCGCACAAACGGTCGTTCGCGCGAGGCGACCATTCTTTTCGATCCACGGACATTATCCACCTTCAATGCCTTTCAGAGTCTGCCGGGAACTTGTGGAAACACACTCCGCTGCTTTTCTTGTACATTTCGGTGCAATTAACGGCAACACAGCTTCGCGGCATGCTGAAATGCTATGACGCCCATGCGAAACGTGCGCGCTTTTGCCCACACCCCCCGGCTCCGGCGTGATCGCAGCGCCGCCGCAGCTCCGTGACGTCAAGCCCGCGTGTCGGTCTATACTTCAGTCTTGTATGGAATCTGTGCTTGAAGTGAAATAATACAGGCAACTTGCCCCAGTGCAATACCACACACAATTTGTCAACTCACTTAAAAAGTTAGTACCATTGATTGGCTGAGATGCAAACTTATTGTTAACCTCGCTTCTTTTCTTCTTTTTTTTTCCTATATCAGTGATTTCAAGACTATGTACCATCCTAACCCCTCCTGAAATGTCAGCTGGACCTTCAGCCGAAATGGGAGCAAACGCCTCAGTGGTCCCTGTGGAAGGTCTCGGTGAGCTTCTTGCAATATCTGAAGCTAGCTACTATATTGTTGCGATACTTTACCACTGGCTGCCAAAGCTTGCATGAAGTGTCGAGCTGGAGAACGACCAGCGGCTTAACGGGCGTCTGCCAAGTCGACCACTGCTGCTCTGACACTGCCAGAATTGTGGCCGGCAACGCATGACTCTTTATGACGTCATCGGGCGAAAATTAACGTCCTACTCTAGGACGCTGTAAACACACCAGTCGGCGACTTAAATCAGGCACTATAGCTTTCCTGCAGCTACAAAAATGGCGGATGTAGTTTTCGGCGCACTCTTAGGCAGCACTGTTCACTTTGCATATCGTCTGTTGGCAGCAGCCTGCTTGTTTTTTTACTCGCCTGAAGTTCTGGTTCATACATTTGTGTTTCGCTGTCTCTTGTAACCACTTGATCAATGGATGGACGGATGAAAGGGGCTGAACCCTTTTAATCGGGTGGCTGCTCACATCCCCTAGGCGAAGCCTTTATTTCAGCCATAGACCTTTCTGGAAAATTCTGCGAGTCTTCTCGTCAATCCGACGCTGCGCCGCACGTCACTGGGAATTGTGGGGCCGGTCTGGTCTGTGCTCGGGCTGTCTTGTACTCTCTGTGTGTCCTGGAGGTGGCTTATTTCCTTCTCTCTTCCCACTGCGAGTTCAGAACGCGAAGGAAACCGAGCAAACACATCTCAAAGCCTATACATACCCTGCTCTGTTACCATCTAGCTTTCTTTGCGTTCTGAAATCACGAAAGGGTAAGCAAACACAAACCACTCCTCGTGCTGTACGTCATATTGCCGTAGTTCGTCGAAGAGATGATGGAAGGTGCTGCACATTTCTGGAATGGATTAACTAATCTCCAATTAGAAATTAAATATAACTGTAAGGTTTAGCCTTTTAATGGTATGCCTCTCAAAGCACAAATAATGGAGCATGGTAAAGAAATTTGGATCCCTACTAAGCACGAGCATTCTTTTACCATTCTTCATAACCACATGTGTGTGCCCCTTCGTAACTTGTTGCACATGCAGTAACCGCTTGTTACAACAAAATCCTTTTTTTTTTTTCAAATTATCGCTTTTATCAAAGTTCATCCTGGTCCCGACCAAACTCCATGCATTTTTAACCGAATTACTTGATTTTTTGCTATTTACTAGATAGAGTATTTTAAGGGGTCCTTGAAAGGGGACCTTTACATGCCCTTAAAAGTCCATGAAAACCCTTGAAGTTTTTTATTTTGTAGCCTGTATAAACCCTGCTTAGAGGGAAGCTACGGAGCTTTTTGGAAAAAATGAGTTAGAAGTGAATTCTAGTGTATTTTTACCCCGTGATCCAGAATACCCAAACCATTTGCTGCGTAACTATTGTTAAACGCGAGAAAAACTCGAAAGACAGTCGCTGTCCGTGACGTCATCGACGGATCTTTTGGCTGCCCAAGGCTAGGGAGGCGGGGCTTCAGTCCTATTTTGAAATTGCTCGTGTGGCTCTCCGGCGCGTTGCATTGAAATATAATTTTGATATCTGTTATTCCAAAGGCCAAATAAACGCAATTCAAGCTTTTTTTCTCAAATGTAGAAGTGCCCCATCTTCCCTTTAATTTCCTTGAACTTAGCCACTATCCGTCTCAAGATCCTTTACCCCTCCTTCTACCTTCATAAAAGCCCACCTCAAGCTTCTCACACAGAGAACAAGCAGAGCTGCCCTTCTTCGCATCAGCGAAGCTCTTGACGTCCGTCCAAATAACACCATTGCTTGCACACTCTAATGTCTCCCATTGCCTTCCTGCCTTTACGACGCATCACCAGCTACTGAAAGAACCAGGCCTATCAGCGAGAAAAAGACCGCCAAAATCGAAATAAAGTCCAACTCTACTCCATAATCTAATGGCCGTGCAGGCCACCGGATCTTAGAGTTCTGGTCACTATTTAAATCTACCGGTACACTTGAAGGAACCAATACCAAAAAGGCACTTAGCTTCGCACATCAACCACCGCTCGGAAAATATGTCCGCTCTGGATGATATCCAGAAACCAAACTTCACACGGGTCCTTGGAAACCCTTGAATCTTTTAGCTATAGTTGCAGGTGCTGCCTTTCAGAGTTATAAACCACAATAACTATATTATGTTTTCTAACATTTATATTAGTAGGATTGTGAAAATATTCAGATTTTCAAAGAATGGTTAATAAGAATACGCTATTTGATATTCTCTTTGATATGAACTGCAATATTCATAGTTCCCCAAGTTGATCGCGGTGGGTTGGCCCCGTTGAGCGTGCTTCTTACCGAGCACCAGTCCTTTGTGGGGAAGTAACACCCACGGAGCTCACTTCCACGAGTTTTGCTTCTCTGCAGTGCATGCACTGGTGCTCGCTAAGGAGCGTGCTAAAGGGGGCTAACTTGCAGTGTCTTTGGAAAAGTACCAATGTCACAGTTGTTTGTTTAGAAGAAAAGCACACTTTCAAAGCAGGATGGTGCAGGCCAGAGCCGTATATGGGGAGAGTTTGGTCAGTCTATGATCTCGCCGCCGTAACGCTCTCCTCTCAAGTGACCCAATCAGCACGCGGCGTAGAGCGAGAGGCATGAGCGCATGCGCGTGAACTCCCGGCTGCTCCCACCTGAGTGGGGAGGGCCGCCATCTTCGATCATTCTCCCGGCAGAATGTGTGGGATTGGCATCTAAATCTCGGTTATTGCCTTTTATATCGCTGGCTCTGGCAAAGAAAATGACATTCTGTTATTCCTCGGTGGGTTAAAAATAATAAATGAAGATTTTTCGGCGTATGGCCACAAACTTTTATTCAGGCAAAAAAGAAGTCGGCCCGTAGCAGACGACGCGTAGCCTCAGCAGTGCTCTTCTCCGACCAGTCTCCGACGGCGTTGCTGAAAAATGGCGGCCGTCTCCTCTCTGCTCCCTTCTTTCTCTCTCGCTCCTTCGGCGCTCTCCTCCCTTTCATTTACTTTTCTCCTCTCCGGCGCCTTCGTCGCCACCCCCACTGGCCAAACTCTCCCAATATACGGCTCTGGTGCAGGCAGGCACCTGGTGTATATTAAAAAAAAAAAATCTTTAATAAGTTGAGTTCAGTAAAAATTTCAAAAATTAAGCTGAGGCTATTATTCAAGAGTAGCGTTAGGCAGAGATGCCCTGAAAACCTGCGTGAATCATTCGTGATTGTCTATACCCGTTTTCGCCTCAAGAACCATAGTAAAAAAAGTCCGGCGCCACGCGGACCATTACTAATTTCCCCTTTTATGTGGATAATTAAGATACATGTGAGTGAACGTTAGATTATATATGTTATCTTGTCCAGACGTACACGTTTCAAACGCCAAAAGCATCGCTTTTTCCTCCGATAACCAAATCTCGTAAGAACTATTTCGCGCCGCTTGTGAACAATGCGCAAAACTTGCTTTTTTCTTGAGGTGAAAACGGGTATATTTGCTTTTTCAAATTTGAGATTGAAGTAAGAATATTTGCATATAGCGAGAAGATTTATAAGTCTCCATTAATTAGGTCCAGCGGGGCATCCCTATTTGCATCTCCAGCTCGTTACTCGCCCTCCTGCGGCAGAAACGGGAAGTACTCTAGTGAGGGTCCCTCTGGTCTTCTGCTCAGCGGGCATGGCGGAACTACTCGCGATCATGGCTCGCGAAATGTCATTTTAGAATGCAGACAATACTCTTCACTGCCCCAATGTAGTGCGGCAGCTGGTGTGGGATTGTACCTTGCTATACTGCCTCTCATCCTGCAATGGACTAAAACCCAATACCACAGGCTGCTGGATCCAATCACGAGCCTGTTAGAAACCGCGTGGTATATTTGCTCTGTCATGCGTATCAGTGCGCCAAGACTCGTCATGCGGAGGTGAGCTTTTCGTCTGCTTATCGAGCCCTCCGTCTGCTTGCTACTACTGAATGGATTAAATACCGTCTGGAAGCAATCTGGCAAAGAGAACCCGGGATCAGAACCAGTGGCCATTAAGAAGTGAAGACGAATCGCATCGAGCGTTCGACACTGGAGCGTACGTACAGATCACGTGCGAAAGCGAGGTACAGGTCTGGGTATGTACACAAAGATTGGACTGGATTGGATTGTTATGGCTAAGGCGATAACTGACTTTATGTCAGTGTTGCCTGCGCACCCTCCAACTTCCCCAAGCAGTTGACGTGTTTACGAAATATGGCACGACTAAATACCATGTACCTTCACCTCACCAATATAGAATAGCAGGCTATCACAGAGAACCACATGCGTAAGGCTAGTGCCCTTCGTACTTTCACTATCGCAATTTTTTTTACACTCTTTTGCAATGCGCATGCAAGCTTTTCTGGTGTGCTCCGCCCATCAGCCTTTGGGCCTTTGTCCATTGTAGGGTGAGACAAAGTATAGAGAGTTTTAGTATTGCGTATAGAAGCAAACGCAAACACTGTGCGTTTGCATTGGAGTTGCGTGCTCCACGCTGCGCATGCACATTGTCATCGTGCTCCAATCCAAGATCACAATTTTGGGCTCCGCGCATGCGCAGTGTGAATCGCGCAATGCTAACACGCAGTGCTTGCGTTTGCTTATAAACGCAGCACTAAAACTCACAACTGTTTTACTGGTTTCCAAAGCCAACGAAACGTGCTGCAGCGAGCAGACGTGCAAGCGAGCCGGCGTTCCTTGGAAATGGAAAAACTGAGATTGGAGAAACGACAGCGCATAAAAATTAAAGAAACTAAATGTTCTGAAAAGACTGGTAATAAAAAAAAATGAAAAAATTAAATCATTTTTTTATGTAATTTTTTTTCATTTTTGGGCATTTGATTCGGAAAGATTGGCAGTGACTCTGGAAGCTTTGCCGGTTGCCAAAAGTCATGACTTTGATAGCACCATATGCTTTATCCACGATCATGTAATTTTACATGGATTTCTCAGATTAGCCATAATGTTTTCATTGATTTTATACTGGCCGGTATAACCAATTGTAATCAAAGTCGTAGGTCACAG